AGGGGGATGAAATCCACAGGGGAGAGGATCTAGAGAGAGAGAGCGAGCTTGAGGACTGAATGGGGGGAGCCTAACATATAGGGATGGGGCAGTGGTCAGACTAATGAGAGGAGATCCACTCGGCTCACTATCGAGGAAGTCCAAGAAGGAGGAATTTGAAGTGACTGTTGTTCAAAGGATGAAGTAGTCAGTAGCCTATGTTAGTCCCCCCCCCCCCGCCACTGGCCCGCCAGTGGGTACTATCGTTACGTCTTGTGCTTGTTCCGCAGAGCACTTAACACACTTGTGATTAATCAGTGTGGTCATCTGTTTAATGTCCACCTCCTGCTCTGAACCATGAGCTCCATGGGGTCAGGGACCACACGCCTCTTGCTCTCTGTTCTATCCCCAGCATCAGTGTTTGGCACACAGTGGTGTTGGTACCCCAGGTTGTTACTGGCTCCTGGCAGGACTCCAGGTGTCCACACACCCTCTCCCCACTGCCCCCCTCAACACACATACTCCGCGCAAGTTGGGAGAGGAGGGACCTAGGACCCTGCAGGAGAAAATTCAAGCTGTGCAGATTGAGTTTCGGGTGCAGTGAGTGTGAGCGGGTAGCCAACAATAGGTCATCCAAACTCCATTTATTTGTACATCACAGGCCAGCCTCGAGGGCAGTCTCACAAGTGGTACCCAAAGTTTACAGGACTCAAACTCCAAGCATGTCCAGTGGAGCACTGGGACGGCCGTGGATGATGCGTTTGCTTCCCTTAGCCATCCCTGTGGGAGGCTGGCCCTACTCCATGCCTGCAGTCGTTATGCAGCAGCTCTTCTTACCACATTTCTTGGAGGGAATGGTGTTGCCATCGTGATGGGTGACTGTGCTTGTGTGTGAGCGAATGGAGGAATGTCTCTCTGTGCCTGTGGCTGTGTTTCTGAGTGAGCATGTGGTATGTGTCTCCAGATCTTTCTCTGTGTCTCTGGAACCAACCTGTGCAAAGAGTTTTGAACTTTGACTTCCTTAGGGTGCCATCTAGGCCAGGTGTCATAGGTCAGGTTTCCCCAAAAAGGACCCTGAGATGAGATTCCTGTGCAGGTGATGTATGAAGGAGAGGCCCCCCGCCCCCCCCCCCCCAGGAGACCGGTGACACAGGAAGCAAGCAGGGACATGCTGTCAGGCAGGTCTCATGGACGGCGGTTCAGCCCCTCCCATAGGGCTTCTGGGGAGCCCGGGTTCTGCCTCAGAGTTCTGACCTGAGAGTTCACTCTCCTGTTCCATTTAGGCTTAGACTAAGGGGGCCAGGGTCATAAATTCCCAGGCACTTCTGCCTCTGCCTATGTGGGGGCAAAGTGGGCTCGGTAGCTCAAAGGAAGACCTAAAGACACCAAGAGAAATGTTGGCAGGTAGTCACTTTCAGAAGCCAGTGTGGAGGGGCCTCACAAAAGTGGGAAGGAGGGAAATGAATGGGGATGTGGGTGGAGCATCACCCTTGTCCACTCTGTGCATCAGGCCGGGGTCTATTTCTGGGCCCCTATGGACCAGAAGCAGGGGCTGAAATTCCTCCCTGTCTCCCATCCGTGTGTTTTATCAGTGGAGACCAGCACTCAGAAGTGTGTCTAACATCTTCATGAGGGCTCCCCACTGAACAAGAAGGCACTCAATCAATGTTTGTTGAGTGAATGGAAGCACCGTGCTTCAGGAGTTGGGGACTGAGATGAGGCCCTTGTACGTGGTCACAGGCAGTCACTGGAAACTGGTTTGGTTCGCCGTGTGAACGGAATGGTGGGGTGGAAGGCACACTTCAAGAGAGGAGACTGCATGCTGGTGACCTGAAGGCCAGAGGCTGCTCTCTGAAGGAGTTTGTTGGTCGAAGAGGGTGGTGAGCAGGCTTGAGGAGGAGTGGAAAGAGCCAGCAGACAAGAGGAGGTAGATTCAAGGCCCAGAAAGGACACATGGAGGGAGGAGGTCCCAGCAAGGGTGGGAAGAGGTAGGATGGAGAGAACAGATGGTGGGTCAACCTTGGCCAGGAGAAGGATCACCCCTTCCTCTCTGAGGAGCGGAAAGTTGAGAGGCAGGTTTAAAGGTCTGAGGATGGTGGAATTTGGAAATGAGAAACAGCGTGTCACAGAGACATATCTTTTCAGCCAGTGGGAGAGAAAGGTCATCTGTTGGGATGGATGGGGTTCTGGAATGGGGAGTAGGAGAGCACTGGGACAGTCACTTTGAGGACTGTGACTGAGTCGGCAAGAATGACAAGACGAAGGGTTGGATGGCTGAGGTCAGATGGTGGACCTTGTCAATGCGGTTGGGTACAACTGTGATCCCCAGACTGGGGACTCTTGAGGTAGAGAGGGTGGCATGTTGGGGAACATGCAAGACAGTTGGTGTGGGCTGATTTGGGGTGCATTGGGAGGTCTTTCTCTGCAGTGGCTGTGGCTGCTTTTGTTTAGCACCTACTGTGTGCCAGGCTGTGGTAAATGTTCTCTCGTTTAGCCCACTCAACAGCGAGTGCTACCCGGCCTGCCCGAGTCTCAGCTAGTGGGGCAGGGCTGTTCTGAGGCCCAAGTCGTAGGATACTGCATGTGAAATGCTCCGGGGCTGCAGAATGCCACGCAGACGTGAAGCACACCTCTCCACACCTCCTCCTCAGCCCCCGTGGAGACTGAGCTGTTTGTCATGCTTTTTGGTCCTCCCCCTTCCAGGAGAAATGTGTCAGACCCTGGTGGGTGGAGACGAGCCAGTGTGGGGCTCCAGAACAGGGCTCACGGGGAGGTAAAAAGCCCAGGCAGGTATCTGCAGCCTGCCTGCGTGGTGCCAGGTCATGGGTCCGTATCCCCAGTTGAGGGGGGTGTTTGTCCCTGGATGGGTGACTGTGCTTGTGTGTGAGCGAATGGAGGAACGTCTCTCTGTGCCTGTGGCTGTGTTTCTGAGTGAGCATGTGGTATGTGTCTCTGGATCTTTCTCTATGTCTCTGGATCTGCTGTACACAGAGAAACATAGAAATGGTTAGGAGGGGCGGTTGCTGATACAAATTAGGGAAAGAACAAATGATGAATGAAGGGAATCACAGACCCAGGGACACACATGTCCCCCCACGTGTTCAGAAACACCCAGGGTGGCACACACACAGAAATGTACAGTGTCAGTTTCTCTCTGTGCTTTCTTGAGTGGGTTGGCATATACTTCTTACAGAGGTGTGTGTGGGTGTCTGGCACACCCACAGATACATATACCCATTTAGCCTCAGAAACACAGAATGATAGGTATTTGGAGACCCATGGAAACACAAATATCGATCCTCAGGCATACATTAACACACTCTGTGTCTTTGCACATAGATTCCTCTGTGTGTGTGTGTTACTGTGTGTTTTTCTGAGTGTGTGGGCATCTGAGTGTCTGAATAACACAGATACGTGTGGGAGAGAAACTTGTGGGCACACACTGAGAAACACACACGGAGCATCTGTATCTCTGCGTGTGTGTGTATGTGTGTGTGTGTGTGTCTTAAAGTCAGGGAATTGTTGAGCCAGGAGGAGGCCTGTCTCCTGGCATGCAGACCCAGCTCCCCCTTGCCGAGCAGGGTTATGATGGTGCTGCTTTCTCCTGGTAGGTCACTCAGCAAGCACCGAGGAAGCCCCAGAGGTGTACTAGCTCATCTCAGACTTTGTGGGGATGTGGGGAAGATCCCAGTAAAGATCTACCCCCTCCCCTAGCAAACCCACAGTCCCTACAGGGTGGTGGGAGGTGGAACGCTTACCTTGATCACCAGGCTGTGGAGTAGGGAGTAAAAAGACCCTCCTGGGGTCACATCCTGGCTCTGCCACCACTTGGCTGTATGGGCATGGACGAGTCACTTAACCTCTGTGCCTTGTGTCCTCGGTGCTAAGGCGGGATGAGCAGGCGCATCCCCCTCCTGGGCGGTTGGGGATTAGGACCGCTCTCAGGCAGACACTCGCTCATCAGCTGTTATTAATGGAGCACCTGCAGTGGCTGAACACTGCCTTGGTCCTGGGGCTTCAACAGTCAACAAGACAAGTTCTGTGTCTATGTGGAGGAAGCTAGTCAGTAAACCAACAGTGTACAACATCAGGGGTGGTGAGTGTTAGGAAGAAAGCCAAGCAGGGTGATAGGGCAGAGAGGGGCAGGGGGCAAGAGGGGCCGGAGAATGCAAGGAGGGTCTCGGATAAGATGACGTTCGATCGAGGTGGACGGGAAGGAGTGAGCTACTAGCAGGAAAGAGGATGTTCAAGGGGAGGGACTAGCAAGGACAGAGGGCCATTGTCCTCATAATAAGCCTGTCATTCTCCCATTTTACAATTGAAGAAATGGAGGCACAGAGAGGCTGAGTAATTTGCCCAAAATCTCACAGCCAGTGAGGAAGAGATCCAGAATTTAAAGCCGGGCAGTCTGGATTCTGAGCTAATGATCTAAATCTGTGGTCCTCCGTCAGGGGTGATTTTTGCCCCCCAGGGGATATTTGGCTATGTCTGGAGACGTTTTTGATTACCACGACAACTGGAGGGTGCTGCTATGGCATCTAGTAGGTCGAGGCCAGGGATACTGTTAGACCTACAATGCGCAGGGCACCCCTGACAACAATATCCTGGACAAACTGCCAGTTGTGCTGAGGTGGAGAAACCCTGGTCTAAATCCATGCAAAGCCCTTGACAGAGTATGACAGTAGTAGGGGCTCCACGAATGGTACCTGGAGAGGAGGAGGAGAAGGGACTTGGAGAAGGTTGCAGGGGAGAAGTGAGTTCAAGGGAGAGAAAAAGGACATGGCAGTGAATCCGTCAACAGGACTCGTGATACTGCTTGTTGGGTGGGTGTGAAGGGCAGGGCTGCCCCAGGGAGGGCACGTGCAGGTGAGGCTGGTGCCAGGAGGAGGTTGATGGACGAGGGGTGGGGGCCAACGGTGGGCAGCCACCAGCCACTGCAACACTAACCAGACGGCTTGCCTCTCTGTCCCCTCCCACCCCATGTCTCTCTCCCCATCTCTCTTGGCCTCTCTGCCCAGAAGGGGACAGCCGGAGGCTGAAGGGGGCCATCCAGAGGAGCACGGAGACGGGCCTGGCGGTGGAGATGCCCAGCCGGACGCTGCGCCAGGCCAGCCACGAGTCCATCGAGGACAGCATGAACAGCTACGGCTCGGAGGGCAAGTGAGTGTGGGGCCCGGTCCTGCCCACCAGCCCTCTTCACTCTCACAGTCTCTGGTGTGGGCAGGAGGGACTGAGCACTGCCCTCCCGGGGCTCTGGGGCAGCCTCAGGCTGGTAGGGGCATTGACTCAGCGCTCCTGGGTCGTCCCCATCTTCAGAAGGGGGTGATGAAGAAAGGAAGCTCCGAGGGAGAGCGAGTAGAGCACAGACTGTGGTGCCCGACTGCTAGATTTGAATCCTGGCTCCTCACCACTGGCTGTGTGATCCTGGGCAAGTCATCTCTCTGTGCCTCAGTTTCCTCATCTGTAAAATGAGGATAATAGTACCAACCTCCCAGGGGTGTTATGAGGATTAAATGGGTTGATATTCATAAAGAGCACAGGACAGAGGTTGGCAGCTAAGGGCCCGGGATCAGTGTCCGTAAATATAGAAGGGGGTCGAGAGGACCTTTATTTTGGTCACTATTCTCTCTTCTTTACTTTTTTAGTTTCTTAAATCCCAACTGGTTTTTAAAAATATATACTGCTGATTGATAAGGAATTTCACATACATCAAGTCATAACACACTGGTCTGACTGGCTCCTCGCCAGTGTGTCTCGCCTCTGGCCATGCATCAGAGCCACTGGGAGCTCATTACAAACGCAGATCGTAGGGCTCCGAGTCCAAGCTGCTGAATCAGCGTTTCTGGGAGGGGCGTCCAGCAGCTCCACTTTTGAAAAGCTCTCTGGGAGAAAGAAGACCAGTCCAGACGGGGGGTTCTCACCTTTGGAGCAATTTTGCACCCCTTTTAGAATTTTGGGAAAGCTTTGGGCCTGCTGTCCCCTGACAAGTACATGCATGGGCACCCTAAAATACACACACTCATTCTCACACGCACAGTCACACAAACACACTCTTCTCATAGTGGTAGGGTGTTCCCAGATTTCCCTAAAACCCATCCATGGATCGCTGGCAAAGAAGCTTTGATCCAAAGCATCTTCCTTATTGTGCAGATGACCAGGGCACTCAGAGAGGTTGAAGAGTTGCCCTGGATCACACAGCATGTTAATAGGTCGGGAATCCAGGAGTCCTGACTCTCAGCTGGGGCTTGTTCCATGAGACCACATGGCTTCATTGTATGAGATATCCTCAGCCAGAGAGAGATGGGGTATCAGGATCCTTGTCGAGCACGTGAGGAGATGGGCTTGGAAAAGTTAGATGCCGTGCCGTCCAGTACAGTAGACCCTAGACACATGTGGCTATTTAAATGTAAATTAATTAAAATTAAATTAAATATTCTGTTCCTCTGTCGCACTAGCCATATTTCAAGTGCTCAGTAGCAACACGTGTCCCTTGGCAACCAGATCGGACAGTGCAGAAGTGGAACTTTTCCATCATTGCAGAAAGTTCCATTAGACAGGGCAGATACCCGGCCAAGCCACTGAGGGCCGGGGCTGGGGCTCAGCCGCCAGCTTCTCCTCCCCTCCCACTTCTGGCTGCTTTGTGGCTGGGGGCTTCTGTTGGCTGAAAGCCTTCACACCCCCAGCCCCCCCAAAACTGGGCCTCTCCGGCCTCTCTGAATGGCCTTGCCTTGGCAGATGCTGCTGCTCCACCCACCTCCTAGGAAGAATTTCCGGAGGGCGAGAAGAGGAGGAGGACAGGCGGAAGGGAGAGGAGGAGGAGGAGGAGGAAGGGAACAAGTTTTTCTTCAACCTGAGAAACTTGGCAAGGCAGCAAACCTTAGAGGAAGATATGCCAGGCATCTGGGTGGCAGTGGGTCCCTGCTGAGTTTCAGGAGGTCAGGAGGTTTGAGTCCTAGTCCTGACTCTGCCACTGATCCCCTGGGTGGCCTTGGGCATGTCCCTTGGTCTCTTCAGCTTCAAGAGGCTGGTAAACATCCCGCCTGTTGGCCTCATAGGCAGGTCAGAGGACTAGGTCACAGAGAGGGCACCGTGGTGCCATGAGCAGCAGCAGGCTCCTGACCTGTCTTAAAGAAGAGCAGGTGAAGGCTCAGGGGGGCCACATGGCTTGTCTGAGGGGAGCAGCATAGGAGAGTGTTGTGACAGGGAATGAGATTATGCCTGCACATGACAGGTGCTTGGACGGCGGCTCCTGTCATCATCTGCTGTAATGTGCTTTAAGGGACCAGAGCGTCTGATTCCATTACAGAGAGGCTCCAAGCCAGAGCTTTGGAGTCAGACAATCCTGGTTTGTGCCTTGTTTCTGCTTCTTAGTAGCTGTGTGACTTTGGGCAAGTTACTTTACCTCTCTGAGCCCAGTTTCTTCCTCTATAGAAAGGGGACAGTAATAATACAGACCGCTAATAGAGTCATTGTGAGGATTATAGGAGTTAATATCTGCAAAAGCACTTAGAACCGTGACTGGCATATAGCATGCATTATTATTATTAGTTGTGACTACTGTCGTTTGTTGATTCAGCCACTGTTTGTTGGGTAGTTTGCATATTGTGGGCAGTCGCATCCTGACGGATACAGGGAGGCACCATGTATGCAATCATGTCTATAAAGTGCATAGCACAGAGCAAGCATGGGATCAATGTGGGCTGTGATGATTATGATTATAAAAAGGTTTGGGGTGGGTGTCTTGGGCCCAACTGAGGAAGTATCAGGTGGGTTGGAGGCTGCTGTGTCCAGCAGAGGGGAGGGTCTTGGTGGAGCCCAGCCCGCTGCTACTACTCCACCCAGCACCTGGGAGAGGAAGGGATGTAGAAAGGACAGGTGGGGACATTGAGCTGTGATCGGGCTTCTTGTTCTGGAGGTATTTTGGGCACTGGTGGGACCCAGATGCCAGGCTCTGAAACAGGAGGGGGTGTGACCGTCCTCCCCCTGGGCTCCTGCCAGCCCAGCTGAGGCTCACAGGGAGCCAGCCCCCGCGAGCCTGCAGCCCCTGGCGCTGCTGGGTCTGCCTGAGCACTGGAGCTCCGGCATGTGTGTTCCTGCAAGCGGTCACAGGGGTTTTCCTTTCAGCAATTGTGATCGAGCACCTGCCGTGTGCCAGACACTGGGCTGAGCCCTCAGAGACCCTGTCTTCCTCTGACCTGGCAGTTAGGTGAGAGCTGCAAAGGACAGGCATAGAGAACTTTGGAAATGCTGCACCCTAACCAGGTCTCGGGGCTGGGGAAGGCCCTGTGGGGTGGGCTGTTCTGTCAGTGGAGATCCCTGGGCTCCAGATTACACAATACTGCCTAACAACCACCTCAGCGCTCGCTGTTCAAAGTATGGTCCACAGTCCAGCAGCATCGGCATCCCTGGGAGGCTTGTTAGAAATGCAGCATCTCAGACCAACCCCCACCCCCCAGACCCACGTAATCAGAGTCTGCATTTTAACAAGATGCCCCAGTGGTTCGTGTGCACGTTAGGGTTGAGAAGCCCTGACTTAACGGTGATAACGTTCCAGAGGCAACAGTCACAGAGCACTAGCCGCGTGCAGGCCCTGTGCTGACGGCTTTTACGTGTATCGACTCATTCAGTTCTCGTGACAACCTGATGACACCGGCACTGTTAATGTCCCCATTCTACAGACGAGGAAACGGAAGCCAAGAGAGGTGAATTAACTTACCCAAGGTCACAAAGCCAGTAAGTGGCTTCAGGTGCCCGGATTCAAATCCAGGCATTTGGAGTCTGCCCTTCACCGTTACACTCGACTCCTGCCCTCATCTAATGGCTGTGTCTGTCAAGATTTCTGGAGACGGACGCTTCCAGGATGGTTTGGTGGCTGGATGATACTATGAAAGACTCGAATCCCTCCATCTTTTACCTCCTCAGGCCTGAGCATGTTGGACCAATTGCGGTTTATCCCCGGAGCTGGGGAAGGGCTTTCTTTCGCCAGGGCCCTTTCTGCCTGATTGAAAGTTGGGGTTCTACATGCAAAGGATGGAAAGGGACAACTGTGGGTTGGCAGGCCCATCTCCCCCAGAGAGCAGGGATTCCAGCCCCCTGAGAAAGGGCCACAAGATCAGCTCCTCTCCGGACCTCCCTGCACGCTGAGATTCTCCCTGTGGCCTTCTGCTTCGTCTGGGTTCCCCAGAGCCAGGCCCGAGACGCGATTTGAGTGCAAGCAGTTCGCTTTGGGAGGTGATTCCCAAAAAACGGGACAGAGGCGCACATGAGAGAAACGGGGTGGGGAGGCCTCCAATGCCGTGTGCTTTAAGAAGCCAGCCGCCACTGTGGGCAGCCAGAGCCTAGTCCTCAGGGGCCTCTGGGAGCCAGTGTGGAACATGCGGCTGCATCGTCACCCAGGAGGTGAGGGAGCTGAAGTCCTTATACTCCGACTCTCATCAGTTACTGGTTGATGCTGCTCCCGATTAACTCTCCTGCCCTTCCTGTGGCACTGTGGGCCCCGGGCCCAGAGAGATGTGGGCAAAGGAACACAGGTACTGGCAGTTAGACGTCAGGGAGCACTGACGTGGGGAGGGTCGGGATGTGGGGGTGGGGGCAGCAGAGCCTGCTACCTGGGAGAGGGCACAGCTCCACCATCTCCCGGCCGCCCAAACCAGAAACCCAGGGTTCTTCTCAACGGCTCCCCATACTCCACATCTAATCCATGACTAAGTTCTACCATTTCACCCCTAGTTGTCTGACTCCATCCATTGCTCTCCATCCCCGCCCCCGGGTGAGGCCACTCATCACTCTTGCCTGGATGCCTGCGAGTCTCTTTTTTGGTCTAAACTCCATAGTCTGTCACTCCGCACTTATTTCCTCTGACTTCTGCCAGCCTCTCTCAGTCCCCAGCCATGTGGCCCCCACTCCACCACCCTGAACCTCTACACTCCCCTCCGTCTCCCCTCCAGGTCTTTGCGTATGTTGCTCCGTCCACCTGGCACTGCCTCTCCTACCCTACGCCCTCTCCACTCTCTGACTCATTCCTCCTCCAGGTCTCAGCTAAGAACCAGCACGTAAGCTTTATGTCATGTGCCAACTCCATTTAATTGATAGTGGCTGCCTGGAGTGCTGTGTTGAGAAGGATTCTGGAGCCCAGTCCAGGCTTGGCAGGAGTATTGAGG